AGTTAATTAGGCTTGATTTCATCACGGGATAAAACCCTGTGACCTGAGTTATGCAAGATTAGATCATCACAGCTGTCCTGTCTAGCCTCCACAGGCCAGACTCAGAGCTGATATCAGTCAGAATAACTTCAATTGCTTATTGATTGATAGACACTGGCTAGCCATGCGGCTTTATGACTCAACCTGATTTTATCCACGTTTCCCCACAACTGGAAGCTGCTCAACCTTTTACTTTTTACTCTCACTGATGGGTACTCTAAAAATACCTGTATTAATATCTAACTATTATTTATTAAATATCTAACAATTTTACACTTCACTACACCTTGGATAGCTGTGCTAGGTCAGGGAACAAAGAACCACCGTTAGCTCCTGGTAATGAGGGGGCTGGCACCTTCCCACAAGCTCATCGTCTGTAGAGAGGACAGCACTTATGATGGAAGCAAGACCTACGTGTCCGGTGCGTCTCAGCTGGGTTTCCTGCTGCTGATTCGATCTGTCGTTCAGTTTGCTTCACTGAAATGTATGCTCCGAATTGCCAGCTTTCAACATGAACTCTTGTCACAAGTATCTAATAACAGGCATCCACTTGGAAACAAAAAGTGAGATCTTGGCGTGTGCCCCACCGTGAAACATGCTGCATGGATTAAACAAAGTTGAAGAAAGGAAAAATGGGGTTTGTTTCCATTTTGTGAGAAAAGGCATTTGGAAAGTGCCTTGATACCAACTGCTGAAACTTCCTTAGCCTGGCGAAGGGTTTTTGAACCCAAAAGCTTGCTTAATAACTTTTCTCCAACTATTTGGGTTGGTCTAATAAAAGATATCAAATTCACCCAAGGAACCTTGTCTGTCTTGATTAGCCTTCGGTTTTTGTATGTGATAACCAGACCTGAAAACATACAATCATAGGACATGAGGGTTGGGAGGGACCTCAAAGCAGGACCAGCCCCAACTACATCATCCCAGCCAAGGCTTTGTCAAGCCAGGGCTTAAACACCTCCAAGGATGGAGGTCCCACCACCTCTCCGGGTAACCTGTCCCAGTGTTTCACCACCCTCCTAGTGTGAGAGGTTTCCCTAATATCCAACCTCAACTTCCCTTGCTGCAGCTTGAGCCCAGTGCTCCTTGTCCTGTCATCTGCCCCCACTGAGACCAGCCCAGCTCCATCCTCCTTGCAAACCCCCTGCAGGGAGGTGAAGGCTGCTGTCAAATCCCACCTCGGTCTTCTCTTCTCCAGACTCAATCAGCCCACTTCCCTCAGCCTCTCCGCACAAGTCATGTCCACCAACCCGCTCACCATTTTCATTGTCCTCCACTGGACCATCTCCAATTTGTCCACAGTGGGGGGCCACAACTGGACGCAGGACCCCAGTGCTTGTTGCAAGTTTAACTGTAGACAGGACTCAGTGGAAAACTTTGAGAAACCAACTTAATTGCATTTCTGTCTCTCTCATCCTCAGCACCTGGTCTCAAGGGCAGGAGCTGAGTTGCTTAATCGAAGCAAGACAAAGTTTTGCAGACGAATGATTGACCAGTGAGGGGAAACAATGGCTTTTTTATTAGTTATTAATTCAGGAATAGCTCTTGTTGGGTTTTGTCCCTGTGATACCACTCTTTTAAGGTAAAGTTGACCCAGTACTCACCATAATCTGAGCACAGTATGGATCGAAGAGAATAAACACAGGAAGGAAGGAAGGAAGGAAGGACAGTAGACCCAGAAAACATGAGCATGGACAGGTAGGATTGGGAGCCGTGGGCATGAATGGACCCTCATGTAACTTTGCCTGTTATTCTCATAGTACAGTAGTTTTCCTTGTTTTACCAGATTGGTCCCCAGTTGGTTTCTTTTTGTGAACAGCTCAATCAAATTCAATTTTCTTTCCTTTAAAGTTGAGTTCGAGCCAAGTGAAACCTGTTGTTTCTTTTTCATTTTCTTTAAAGGAATTCATGATTCTGTGCAATAATAACAGCAGAAGGCTCTTCTGCAGATATTTTCAAAGCATCAACCACTAATCGCAGGTGTGGGTCAATGCGGATGCTTCCCAAGTTTCCCCAGCTAGTCTATGCACCTGTTAGTGCTGCTCCGCCCATGCTGTTATCACCCTATACCTAAAATATCAGAGGGGAACTGGTGGGACCTGTTGATGATAAAAGGCAGGAGAGAAATGGAAGAAATGCCAGGGAAAGATTAAGGTCTGAAAGTCAGGCAAAGGACAAAGAAGCGTTTGATTATCTGCAGCACTATAGCAAGGTTTTGCTGAACGTCTGATGCCGCTCGTTGTTAGAGACATGACACTGGAATAAATGGTCTATGAGTTTCATCCTGTATGACGGCTCCTTTGTTCCCATCCATAAGGAGCCAAGGATCAATTATAATGCCTTCAAAGTAGATGCTGATGTTTGAAATGCAGTGAGACCTTTTTGAGTTGAATACCCGAGGAAGGAAGAAATGGGTCAAAAGGACGCCCTTCCTGCGCGCCGAAAGGCAGAATCCAACAAAACATTTCACTCTGCTAAATGAACAGACTTCAGAGAAGCCGGGAGGTCATTGTAAATGGAGGAGGAATATATTTGACATAAGTGAAGGGTGTGCAGCAGTTATCATTAAGAGCAATTCTTCTGACTTTTATTTCAATAGAGATCTCCAGTTCATTTCTATACAGCTAGCTATTAACAACCTGCCCCTGGGACGAACTTGGCTCGGACTGGGAGGCTTCAGCGGGGCGAATGGGAGGAGATGCCGGCCTCCAGGTGGGCTCAGCCCTTGGTTTCTTCGCTGTTAGCGGGGGCGACCTAGAGTCTATCCCAACAGGGATTGTTATCATGCAGATGTCCCCTGGTGAGAAAGACACAGCAAGTTACATAAAGAGAATCAAACAATACTGGAGGGATAAAAAAAAGCATTGTTTTCCATCGGGTGTGAGCCACCCGCTGACAAACTGGGGTTGGGGCACAGCTGTCTTTGCAAATCCTTGATTTTTGTTCTTTGCTGCTTCCAAGGGTTTGTGTTTTGGGGGGTTTTTTTGCATCTGCCGTGGAAAAATCTGCTGCCAGCCAGGGACAGGAGAAGGGGAGATTGCTCCAAGGTCTGGTCAGCTCAGCAGTTCCCACGATGGAAAAAGATGTTTTATCTTCAATCTGCATAAGGTATCTTGGGACCGCCAGAGCAGCTCTAAGGGGTCTTTAACCAGTCTGGAGGGGCTGCTGAGGATTCATCTGGCATCCTTTCATGCTAGAAAAGCCATTTAGCCAGCTTCATGCCACCTGCCATGCTGCCCACTAGCCTATTGGCACACAAGGGTGGGGAGAAGAGGAGCTCCCGACATCTACCTGCCCAGCTCATCCTTTGCTGCGGAGATTGGTAGAAAACCCCCTTTTGATACTCAGAGGATCCATAAGAGATGGGATGTGATGGGGCTGTGATGCAAGCACCCTCAGTCTGAGAAAAGTGCTTACTAAATGCAGGGGTGCAGGTTGTAGCCATGTTTAAACCCGAAAGCTTGCTAAAAAAAATTTTTCCCCTAACTATTTAAGTTGGTCTAATAAAAGATTTCATATTCACCCAAAGAACCTTGTCTCTCTACTAAATGCAGAAAGTTTTGCCCTGGCTTCTCTTTCCATGGGTTATTTTAACCCCTATTCTGCTTGGTACGTCATACTACAATGGGGGCTTTCCACGGTTTTAAAGTGTAGAAATCACCAAATAGTCCTTTTCTACTACTAAAGATCTGAGCCCTTTTTATGCAAGAACAAAGGTATTTTTAGTTTCCCTACAACCTCATTTTAAAGAGTTAAACTTTCTGCACTGCAAAATTATATGTGCTAGGGAGGAGGTGGGGGGGAGGGTTGTAAAAAAAAGGAAACCTATTTGAAGCAATTTCTGCATTGTTCAATTCAGCGCTGAATTATACCTTGATAAAGAGCTGCCTGATCTATTGGGACTCGGCCATTACGTTAGGGAGGTGTATTCTGCCGGATGTGGAAATGTCCCTGAAGGTGCTTGGCTGTTGCGGAGAGGTCGAGACACAGTGAAACAAGTGATCAGGAGAAATAAAGAATGGATTGGACCCGTCCAAGAGACAGCAAATTTGGATCTCTCCTGAGAAAGAAATGGGTTGTTTTTTATACAACCAGATTCTCAGGCCAAAGAGATTCCAGTGAAGCGGAGTCAGGATTCAGATTTGGGCTCAAATCCACCATTAGCTAACTGTCTTTTGCCTCTGAGGAAACAAGAAGCCAGTGATAAAAACACAAACTCCTGATACCAATAATGAGTAAAAATAAAACCCTTTTTGCAGAATATTCAACAAAATAACTTCATAGTTTAAAAAAAAAATGCCAGCGTGCAAAAGTACCCTGGACTAATCTGACAAGTTGAACTACAAAAGCAGATCTCTACGGGGAGAGAGTCAATCTGTTTGCAGATGGCTTTTTGCCATCTAAAGCTGATTACTAAAAATCAACGGGGACTCAGACATCTGCACCTGAAAACCATGCATTTTCTTTGTGGCTTTTAGCTGGATGCAGCTTCAGGCTCATTTTGTAAAAGCTTTGGGACCAAGGCTGCATTGCTCAGTTCCTCAAAATCTGACAAGTCTTGGAGCCGGACTCGTATCCAAGATTTCAGATTCCCAGCTGGATGCACCCCACGTTGCTGGTTCAGTAAATGCATCTGCTGCGAGAGCTGGTCTGAATAGCCAGGATCTCCTTTCTCACCCTAGACTCTGATGCACTTAGCTAGCCAATGAATGTGTGTGAAAGGAGGGGCTTTCTAGCCGACTCCTCACAAGGGAACAGCTCTTACAACAGCGAAACCACAACTGAAGCCAGACGTGCATACACCCTGTGTCTCTCAGCATCTGTGTGCTTTCAGGTCTGACCGGACATCCCTCCTTCTCCCTCGCTCTCTCCTTCTAAACGTGGAAAAAGTGGCACAGGGAAAACTTGAAGCAGCCTGGAAGAAGACTGGATCTGCATTATTCATCCCAACAGAACCAGCCATGGACTGGATCACCAACATCTCATGGCTTGATCACCTCGCTGGGAAGGAGGAACCGCTCGGATGGCATTTAAACAGCACTGAGGACTATCTCGCCTTCTTATGTGGCCCCAAACGAAGTCACCTCTTTGTGCCCATGAGTTTAATATATGCCTTGATTTTTGTGGTCGGGGTGGTGGGAAACCTGTTAGTGTGCCTGGTGATCATAAAGCACAGGAACATGAAAACCCCCACCAACTACTACCTCTTCAGCCTCGCCATTTCGGACCTGCTGGTGCTGGTTTTCGGGATGCCGCTGGAGGTGTACGAGATGTGGAGCAATTACCCCTTCCTCTTCGGGCCCGTCGGCTGCTATTTCAAGATAGCGCTCTTCGAGACGGTCTGCTTTGCCTCCATCCTGAGCGTCACCACGGTCAGCATGGAGAGATATGTCGCCATCCTCCATCCTTTCCGGGCCAAGCTGGAGAGCACCAGGAAGCGTGCGCTGAGGATCATCATTGTCCTCTGGGTCCTCTCCGTCCTCTTCTCTCTCCCCAACACCAGCACTCACGGCATCTTGCTCCAGCGCTTCCCCAACGGGACGCTGGTCCCCGGCTCTGCCACCTGCACCGTGGTCATGCCTATGTGGATCTACAACTGTATCATCCAAGTCACTTCCTTCCTCTTCTATGTGCTGCCTGTGGTTATCATTAGTGTCCTCTACTATCTGATGGGGCTGAAAGTAAGTCCTAATTGAACGATGCCTTCCTTGCTTCTCTCTGTAACTTTCTTTCTAGCTCAGCTGCCTTTAAAAAGGTGATTTAACCCTTTTGAGGCAACACCTGCTGTCCTTCCATCAATTGGGAAGGGAACCCATTGAAAACAACCTCCCTTGGGAACAAAGGACCAGATTCACCCCCTGCTACACCTCCAGCTGGGGGTAAATATGGCCTAATCTATGTGTATCATTTTAGTTCTTACTTCTGCATCCCTGTTAAGGTGCTAAATTTATCTTTTGTAGGTTTTCGGGTTCTTGGCTCAAAAGGGGGTGTAAAAAAAGAGTAAAAAGTAGGAGGATTGAAATGCTTGCCTTTCTTTGTCTTGTGACTTTAGCATTTTCATTGCATTCTCCTGCTCCTGCTTTCTTGGGTGGGCAGGCGGGCAAGTGATATGAACACTACTTGATCATAAGCTTTTGTTAAAACTCACTTCTGAAATAAGCTGGTTTACTGCTGCAAGCACAAAATAATGAATGAGTCTTTTAAAAGTAGTGAGACGTGCTATAGAGCCATTTGCCATCTGCGCAGCCTTTAGAAACCTGGACTGCTGGCAACGGGAACTGAAATAGAGATACAGGAGAAAAACAGCCTAGGTTATACTGTATGTAACCAGCTTTTTTACAGCAGCGTTGTGAACTACTCTGCTAAAATATTGTGGGGTTGGATTGGTTTTGGGGTTGTTTTTTTTCTGGGTATGGTTTTTAAAACATCGGTACTAAGCTACGCTGCTCAGAATGCAACTTTGCAGAAGCGAGGTTTGCTCCCTTGCAAAGAAAGGGCAGGGAGCTGCAGAGATATCTGGTTAGAGAAGCAAATCAAGTGCTACAATCAGCCGCCACATCTGTATTGCCTCTTTAATGTGTTATCTGCTATTTAGTGCCACTTCACACAGGAGAAGAGGTGCCTAGGAGTACCTATGATTGTAGGTGAATAACTGAAAAACTACCGCAAACAAGAGATCTTTCTGAACGGATCAGGTTCCCATAAGCAGCAATTTATGGACTTAGATATAGATTCAAACAGCAAATTATGCACGGCTTAACCTAAAGGGAATGAAGGAAAGCATCACTTTTATCTTCACTGTTCAATTATGAACTGAAAAAACCTAGAGCTGGGTATGAAAAGCCTTTGCTTCAGGCAGGCAGTTGTAGCTGGTCACCGTTGCCCAGGTTTTCTGAGTTCTCCCTGCAGAAGAGATGCTACGTTGGTGCCAAGTCACAGCTCCCACTCTCAGATTTCTGAATGAGACCTGACATCGATCCTGCCCAGTCTCATCATCATAAAGGCTTGGATGACCTTTCATTTATGCCTGCTTACTCTGCTTTATTCTCATAATGCACTCCCGGCTGCAATGCCATTGGCTTCAGCACAAGTAAAGGGGTAAGGCTGTTTAATTTTTAAATGGAAGTGATGAACAAACAGCAGTTAGCTCATTTTCAGTCGCAGGCAATTTATATCAAAGCAGCGATGAGCAGTCCCGGGCTTGTCTGGGCATCTCGCGCTGTTTAAACCTGAATTGCAAAACTTCAGCCTTGACCCTGCAGTTGAAATCTGGAGCCAGGGACGTTTTCTTTCCATCCCAATAGTCCAAGCCTGGGCTTTGGGGAAAGAGGGATTGGTAATTGCACTTCCTTGTTTCAGCCCCAACAGAACCTAAATGCGCAGCAGCACCCTCTGGCATTGCACCACAGGGAGAAGCAATTAGGAGCCGTTCAATCTCTGACAGGGCAGCAAGACTGCACATAAGACTGCAGAGTCCAGCTTGTGTTTGGAGTCAATGGGATTTGTCTCTTGGATCATGCAATTCCAGTTCAGTAGACTAGACTGACATCAAGAATGCCCCTAAACCACCTGGGTTTGCATTTTCAGTCTTGCTAAGGCATGTGCTACAGAGAACTCGAGCCATTATTGCGGAGGAGAGGAGATGAATCAGGTAGGGGCTGTTCTGGCCAGGTGTTACTCACCTCCTTATGGATGCCCTCAGACTAACAGCTCACAAAAAAGATCCCGTAATGACTGCACAAGGATGTCTGTGTGCCTTCATGCCTGTAAGGCTCAGAGATACAGGAACAGTCTTTGAAGTACCTACATGGCCACCATCACTACAGCATCCAGTGGGTGATGGGCAGTGAAGAGATTTCCCATCCCAGAAGTTTGGGGATTGAATAAAAGAATCCCCACCTAGAATCAGGAAGGAAAGCCTTTGGATCAGTGAGCTTATGCTGAAAAATACCATCCTGAGTTTTATGACCCTCACTTTACTGATGAGGAGCTGAAATCCAATGAGATGTAGGTGACTTCAGGATGTGGAGGTGGAAGCTCTCTGTTTTTTGTTGGCCAAGACAGTGCAGGTTTTCTGGAAGAAGCAAAGAAGTGAGTTTGACATCTCGCAGCCATTCAATGACTGGCCTCCCTGGTAAAAGTGGAAACAGGAATAGTAATTCAGATGTGTTGTATTATGGAGTGATTCCTGGGGAACTATGGGGACCACCACACGTTTCACATGACATCAGGTGACAATAATTTTCAGCTACGGTCAACTGTGTTGGATTCAAACTGAACAAACAGATAGAGATGGCTTTGTATGTTTTTACCAGCCCCCAAGAACCGTCCAGAGTACGCATGAGGACATCCTGCCTTTCTTAGCATGTTCCTGGAACAATAAAGGGATGGAGAATGACCTGGAGAAACTCTCCTTAAAGGGAGAATATTTCTATTTTGCATTCAGTCCTCGACCTGCCGGCTGATGCTGCCAGTTGCCCTTGTGAGGACTGTGATAGACATCTACCCAGTAGCTGTTAGCACACACTACACCAATTCTCCTCCCATAGACATTTATAGATAAGACCTTGAAGATGGCAGAGCGCACCCTCAGCAAGTGTGCAGATGACACTGAGCTGTGGGGAGTAGCAGATACACTGAAGGGTAGGGCTAGGATTCAGAGGGACCTAGACAAATTGGAGGATTGGGCCAAATGAAATCTCCCAAGGTTCAACAAGGACAAGTGCAAAGTCCTGCACTTCGGACGGAGCAATCCCATGCACCGGTGCAGGCTGGGGGTGACCGGCTGGGCAGCAGCTCTGCAGAAAAGGACCTGGGGTGATGGGGGGCAATAAGATGGATAGGAGCCAGAATGTGTGCCCTTATTGGCAAGAAAGCTACCGGCATCCTGGGCTGCATCGGTAGGAGCGTTGCCAGCAAATGGAGGGCAGTGATTCTTCCCTCTGTTCAGCACGGGGGAGGTCACATCTGGAGTCCTGCGTCCAGTTTTGGGCCCCCACTGCAGAACAGATGTGGACAAGTTGGAAAATCCAGTGGAGGACAATGAAAATGGTTGTGGGGCTGGGGGACAGGACTGGTGAGGAGAGGCTGAGGGAATGGGGCTGAGTGAGTCTGCAGAAGAGCAGACCGAGGAGGATTGAACAGCAGCCTTCACCTCCCTGCAGGGTGGTTGCAAAGACGATGGAGCTGGGCTGTTCTCAGTGGTGGTAGATGGCAGAGCAAGGAGCAATAGGCTCAAGTTGCAGCAAGGGAACCTGAGGTTAGATTTTAGGAAGAATGTTCTCACTAGGAGGGTAGTAAAACACTGGGACTGGTTACTCAGAGAGGTGGTGCAATCTCCATCCTTGGAGGTTTTGAAGACCTGGCTAGACAAAGCTTTGGCTGGGATGACGTAGTTGGGGCTGGTCCTGCTTGGAGCAGGGGCTTGGACTAGGTGTGACCTCCTGAGGTCCCTTCCAATCTGAATTTTCTATACTTCTATGCCATTGATGGGCTTCTTATAAATACAGAAACAGGAAAGACTCTTGCATTCTTCCTCAGATGGTGCTTGCTGCTAATGTGAGCTATGCAAGGTCTAAACATGGTTCGATTGCTTTTGTTAGATGCTTTCTTTGGGTTAGCATGGGTATACATGGGAGCAGACTCTCAGGCTATAACATTTGGTTCTTATTAGAAAATGCTACAATACCTAAAGATTCCTGTTCTGTGCTCCACGCACATTTTTTTCTCTTGAAGCACATCCTTTAAAAGCATTTGCAGGGAGCCCTGCATCATGTCGTATGTGGTCTGTTGCAAGTACAATGGTCGACTCTGCTGAAGAATTCGATTCTGCAGAGAAAGCTGTGACTGAGAGATAAGAGAGTTGCCTGGATTTAAAAGCAAACTTGCAAAATAAAACACATGGTCATGCATGAAGATACCCTCTTCATGCTTGTTCCTACTGATATGCAGGATTATTATAGTGGAGGGAATGGAATCTGTTAAGTTTTAATGTCCTTTCTGCCATTTAGGCTGGGTTTTTTTCCATTTTCCAGTTCACTCACCACATGTAATTAGAAACGTGCTGGCGGACTTTGCTTATATTCATAATCACTGTCAATGTGTGTGTTTCTGGTTTCTTTTAAACAATTCTGTTAAGGATCGGAAACTTTTCCAAAAGGATCTTAACTTTGAACCTGTTTTGTCAGATAAGTAGTGTAACTAGGAGTGGGCATCCAGAGCGCCAGCCCCAAATGTGAACATAGAGGAGGCATGAGAAAGGCGGCACCACCACTGGCCCAGCCAGCACTGCCATCCAGGCTGCAACACCTCTGTGCCAGACAGGTCTGACCACCGTACAACAAAATCTAATATTATCTCCTCAAAAACTACATTGGCCACATATGTGTTTGGTCACACCAGTCTTTTCCCAGGAGGAACAGTGTATCGCTGTTAGCAGTAAAGGGCCTGAGCAAAAGCTCTGGATCTGGACCTACCTCATTTTGGTCAACACTTGGATTGCAAATGCAGACTACGGTATGTATCTCGCAAATCACCGCTGTCATGGACAGCTGAACTGCAGGGTTTCCATGCCTGGTGACCAGGCCTATACTTCTCATCTGAATGATTTAATTTATACTGAGGAAAAATCAACAGATGAAGACAGAAAACAAGTAAAGACTCCTTGAGAGAGCCTCACAGGGTTGCCCAACATATTGCACCCCTCTTTGGGCTAACAAGGTCAGGGGATGCTAACAGTATCCCTGAGAGAGCCTTGCAGGGGCATCCCAAGATACTGCACCCCTCTTTGGGCTATCAAGGTCTGGGGATGCTAACAGTGTAAAGGTGTAGAACAGAGGATGTGTCTACTTGTGCATTTACTGCGCAGTAAATTACTGCGCAGTAAGTGGCTTTTACACTGGCATCTACACGTGCAGGCATTACAGTGCAGTAACACTATGTGTAGACTGATTTGGGACTAAAGTCCCTCACAAACCAGTTCACACAGAGTTACGACACAGTAAAGCCTTGCTGCCACATGTGCCTTACTGCGCAGTAACTACTCAGGAGTAAATTTGCTACCTGTATCATGCGGGTAGCAAATTTACATCCAAGTTGGCATAAATTGCTATTGTTACTGCACAGTACAGGTGCGCGCCTGTACAGGTATGGTCATTTTTGGTTGCCGCACAGTAACGGCGCACGTGTAGATGCGCCCAGAGAAGACAAACGTATATCAGGTGCATTGCAATAAAGTTCAAGCAAATCAAAACCCCAGATCCAAATGTTCATGCCATTTGGGAGGAACCAGATGTGGAATTTTTCACTGGGACTCTATGTTTGAGCTCTGTGCTCAAAGTTATCCACCCTCCAACAAACTTCCCCTTTGTTATTCCTCCCGGTCACGCTGCAGCAGAGCGTCATTGCAGCTTTTGAAAACGAAGCATAACGGCGCTATCGAACCCACAGGAGGAAAGAGAAGGAAAAAAGTTACATTTTGGTTTATGACCGTGGCATAGTAATACATTCTCTGTGGCTTTGGAGAGTACTTCGCATAAATGACTGTTGAGACCGAAAAACCACTGAAGGGAAGCTAAAGCTTTTAATCAATCTGTGTCGACATTTATCACTTTGCGTGTTACGAATCAACCAAGCTTCGTCCTTAAACAACATTGATTTCAAGTGAGTGTGTCAAAAGACGATCATGAAAAACATGCAAATGCCAAATTGCCTTGTAATCGAACAGAATTTCATTTAAAAGTATTCCCGCTTTGTGAGAGCGCTAGCCTCGAAATGAATCAATGGTGAGATTATATTTTTCTAATGAGCGCAATTAAAACATGTTTGAAAAGTTATAATATTCCATTAATCACAGACAACTTGAAGGTAACAAGTAAGAGGTAGAAGACAAAATATCACATTCATGTTCTTGCATTCATTTACTGGTCTTTCTTCTTTTTGGGTGGGGGGGGTGGGAAAAAGAGGGATGGGGGTCTCCCCCATACAATTAAAGTTTAATTGCTATTCTGGAGGTGTTGGGGGGAAAAAATCTTCACTAGAAAAAAATTGTCTAACTAATCAACACTGAAAATCTCAGTAGCCCAACCCAGATAAAATGAACGTGGTGGATAATTCTAGTAACAATAAATGCAAAAGTATTGTCCTCTCCGATTGACCAGTGGGGGTTTCATCATCCAAGCATCAGCTCTCAATAAAAGCACGCTGCAAAACAGTCCAATGAGTGTTAGCTTCTTCAAAAGTCATTAGGATTCATTTTAATTTCAATCACTTTGTTCCGCACTAACGCGAGACGAGGGGAACTGCTCGGAAGCAGAACGGTGGCACAGGCTTGGCTTTGCTCATCTCCCTGGGTTTGTGCTTCCTTTTTGCTGTAAAAAGCCAAGGGGAAGCTGGCTGGGAAAACGTTTTCTTTCTTGTTGTAGCTAAGTGGGATGCATTTAATCTCTGTGCAGGTTGCACCACTGATTTCTGCTAGATGGAGTATAGGGATTGTATTCATCACCATCATTTGATGTAAATTAGTCAACCTCCAAGCCCCTTGAAAATCCACGGATATCTTTCCATTGCTTCAAATGGGCTTTCAACATGGTCCTTACAAGTCTTTTTAATTAATTTTTTTTTTTGGATCCTGGGGGTATTGGCTGATTGCATAGGGTCTCTTTTAGAAACAACCTCCCCTCCCCCTTCCTGGATATTTTGCAAGACAAAACCACACTAAAATTCACTGAGCGTAATTGTCCAAATCCTGTTGTATATGAGCTAGTGAGCAGTACTGCTTTACACAAACATACTGGGAGCACGCATAATTTAATGCCAGAAATGTCTGCTGTCTCTTTTGAACCCGAATCTTCATTAAACCGTTTTTTTTCCCAGATTAGAATTGAAAGAGACTGGGAATCTCCAACCCCACAACCAGTACATTTTCACAAAACCTTTTCTGGAGATGGCAAAACACAAAGCCCTTTTAATGCCCCAGCCCCATCCTTATTCTGTATTACTGGATCCAACCTGTCTCTGAGCTGAGGTTGATATTAGCCAAACCCAAACCAAACTGGCAATGTTTTACAACAGTTGGGAAAAAAAGGGCCTTTCTGGCCTCTCTCGGTGTAGCTTCTGAAGTTGTTGCTCAAACACTATTTACCAGAACTATGTTCAGTTACAGCAAAGTGTCTTCTTTGTACAGCTTTAGGGTTGTTGGATGTAGCCGGGTTGGTCTAAGGACATGGGCAGATGAGGTTCTTTGGGTAAATGTGATCTCTTTTATTAGACCAACTCAATAGTTGGGGAAATTGTTCTTTGCAAGCTTTCAGGCACAAACACCCTTCTTCAGCTTCTTCCTTTGCACAGCATCTCTTTTTCATGCTATACACATCTGAGGTTACTAAGACCTTTCAGAAGAAGGGGGAGTTCAGGTAATATAAAAAAGCTAGTAGGCAGCAACGTAGTGCAGTAGGTAACCGTTCCCAGACTAGCTTGCTTTTGAATCGGCAGCATGCTGAACTCAATCTGTGGCCCATTACCAGACAGGTCATGAGATTCATTTCTGTGTCCCCCATAATGCTACAGGAGAAAACACCTTGTTTCTAAGTTTTCCTTCATTTTCCCCTTGCCAGTTGAGAGGAGACAAATCTTTGGAAGCAGAGGAAATGACTGTGAACATTCAGAGACCCTCCAGAAAATCAGTCACTAAGATGTTATGTGAGTACTTCATTTTAGCTTTATGCATGTGTATCGTATGCATTTCATTTAACATGGGGCAGGAAGCATAGGGAAAGCAAGCAGCATGTCTGGGGGCTCAAAGAAGGTGGGATTAAAACTCAGCAGGATATACAGTTGGGTTCTCAGGCCTGCCTTAGGTGAGAGATTTTCCCCACCAAAACTAAGATGCATCAGCCGATCTGTGTGTCAGGAAATGTGGGGCAGCTACTTGTCTCATATGTGTCTCTAAGCTGTGTTATCAACCTGGCACATCTGATCCTTCCTGGTGTGGATGACTGCTGAAATGCATCCTTGCCCACGTTCCAGCAATAGCAAAGTTCCTAAGAAACTGGACGGGTGAATGGATGGGTGGATGGATGGTTAGTTGATTGGTTGGATGGATGGTTAGTTGGTTGGATGGATGGATGGATGGATGGTTAGTTGGTTGGTTGGATGGATGGTTAGTTGGATGGATGGATGGATGGTTAGTTGGTTGGATGGATGGATGGTTAGTTAGTTGGTTGGATGGATGGATGCTCTCTCTGGAGATTTCCAAATACAGGCTAGGGAGTAGGTATTACACAGACATTTCCATCATAAACTGCACTCTTTTCCCAAATAAACTCTGCCAGTCCTTCACCCTTCATTCCCCTTCCCCTGCCTTTTGTCAGGATCCTTAATGACCCCGAAAGTGGTAGAGACCCATGCAGAAATGTCCCATTTACCTTTGACCACTAGCATTTCTCCCTCCAGTTAAGGCTGTCTTCAGAACATTTATCATTATCCCTGGCAGGCCAGCATTTGCAAACGTATTTAGGTAAGAAACCTAAAACACCCATTGCCCTTGCTGAAAGCTTTCAAACAATTTTAAATCTCCATCAAATTCTGTAATCTAATAGAAGCCTGCCTTTCTGGTCTGTCGGTCTACAGCACCAAATATTAAGATGGTTGCATCCTCTGTGCAGTGTTCATGTCATCACTACAGACTGAGTGAGGACCATGCTGGGACTGATCTGGCATAATCACGGTCAGCTGGGAGATCCATCCAGTCTGAAAAGAGCAGGACGTTGCCTTGAGCTTGAGTATTGTCCCTAGCAGGGTCCTGGTAATGCCGACTGGAAATTAATCCTAAACCCTCAGCTTTGGTTTTTTTTTCCTGTGTGAAAGATTCAGAGATAAAGAGCTCACCAGCTGACATCGTATCAAGTCCAAAGCTGCACTGATAAGCGTGCCTTATCCACGGTTGGTTCATTTGGTTTGAAGTGCCATCTCAGCTAAAAACTGCCTCTTCATTGTCAGCTCCATTGAAACCTCGAGCTCAAAAATAAAGAAAAAAAGGGGGGTGGGGAAGGGCAAATCAATGTTTATTTATCAAATTAAGACGCGGATCAGCAGAGAGATTTCCTTGTAGTTTGAAATATTTTTTTCTGCAGAAAGTGCTGGTGGCAGCAGGGAGAGGAAAGCAAGGTTGTGAAAGAGGTTTCCAAATAAATGACTTGGCAATTGCCGATAGACGCTGCTGGTTGCTTCCTGGGACTGCTCGCCCTGCTTCCCGCCCACCATGCAATCTCTGTAACTCTCTTTCTCCTCCCCTTCTGTGTGGCAGTTGTTCTGGTGATGGTATTTGCCGTCTGCTGGGCCCCGTTTCACATCGATCGACTCTTCTTCAGCTTCGTTGTGGACTGGACGGAGCCACTGGCCAATGTCTTCAACCTTATCCACGTGCTGTCAGGTAGCTCTTTCTTATCAGGCTTGCTCGCTTGTGGACTCGTAGCTCTCAGGGTTAACTCGATGTGGAGAGACTGGTTCATATTATGCAGGCCACCAGTGAGAGAACTAGTCACAAATATATTGAGGATCAAATATTATTCCTTGGTTATGTTCCTTACCATTTTTATTTCTTTCTAGGCCAAGTCATTCACTCTTTTTTTTTTCTAGCTAGGAGGAAAGGTCTTGTTTGCACTAATTCCCTATATAGACACTCTTGGTGTGCAAGGAAGGATATTGTAGTGTGAGGTAGCTTACAACACAGCATGCACAAAGAGTGTCCACATGGGACACGAATGCACAATAGCTTGTGTGCTGTAAATTCACGTCCTGGTTACCGCGTGCTATCATCCCCATACAGCAAAGCCCTCCTTTACCTACATCATTCCAGGGCCCACAAAAAAAAGTGATGACCAAATCACCAGACCAGGATATACTGGCTTCAACCTGCAGGAATAGCAGAGAAAGCAATGGGGCTGGGAAATATATCAGTATTATCTGCTTAGATCTGCACCTGATCAGTCAAGGAACAAAATAAGGCAGTGGAGAACTACAGACAAATACACTGCTCAAGAATAGAGCAAGATCCACCTTTGCTTGCAGTTGGGTTTGTCCCCGTGTTTCAATGTGGCATGCGTTGCAAAGCTTGATTGGGTCTGATAGTCACTGCATGCAGCTGATTTTAAAGTCAAGCTAGAGTTTATGAAACTTTCAGGACTTAGTACTGTTGCCTGATGGAGTTCTTCAAATGGGCACAAATAATGAAAAAACAGGGCACAGAAAACCGTAGTGAGCTGCAGACAGTGCTTTTAACTCTTGAAAATATTCACAGATCAACACGCTTGCTATTCACCCGGCTCTCGCCTATCCAGGGTAGCGAACACCGTGTTCTCCTCGATGATTTCTTCCCCAAGCCGGGAATCTTATCGGAGCTACAAGAGAGCAAACTTTGCATCCTTTTCCACAACTGAGGTTCATCACTCGGGATGAATGTTTCCATCAGCCGTAAAATTAAAAGATATTGCCTCTTCGAGGGAGAAATGTTTTTCTCAGGCTGCCGTGGGGAAACACTGAGCGCGGTAGTTGGGTGAATCATACAAATTCAGATTCACGTTGATTTTTCATCAGACGTCTTCCTTTCTATTCTTTTGAACTTTTTGGTTTGTTTTTTGTAGCGCTGCTTGAATCTTGTATCTCATTATGGCATTAAGAAGGGGAGACTTCCTCAGCTGAGACTAGTCGGCGTACTAATTGCATCCTTCTCTCTTTCTCTCCCCGTCTCTATTTTTGCTGGTCTCCCCTAGGTGTTTTCTTCTATCTGAGCTCTGCCGTGAACCCCATCATTTACAACCTCCTTTCTCGTCGCTTCAGATTGGCGTTCCTCAACGTGATCACCCCTCGGTGCAAGCTCTGGGCCAGCAAGCAGCCTGCCAGCGGGATCCCAGCCCACCAGAGCCTTTGCCTGGTAGGAGACTGCAATCTGATGGATTCTGCAGAGAATGCAAGTCCTCCATCCACGCACAGGATGTCCGTCTGCAGCTCTCGGCTTTCTACTGGCCTGTGACTATAAATAGCCTTCTCAGGTGGCATGGAAGGTCATTAAAATTGCTTTTACCTTCATGGGGAAAAAGACCCCCAACCCAAACGAGAGGGTTTTCAGCAAGAGGTGCTGCATCGTGACGGCTGCTTGAGAAGGCTGCTGCTGCGAGGTAAATGGCAATCATTGTCTCTGCCATGAGGCCAGAGGAGGAAAGGAGTTTGAACTCCCTGACTGTGCAGTAAAAATTAATTTCGTAGGACATGCATTATAGACCCACTCCTCCTTTAATCGCATTAGTCCAGCTCCTGCTAACCGTATTAAGTCCAATTAGGCATGGCATGAAGATTGACGTAGCAATCACAGCTTTCCATTTCAATCCTCCCCCGTCTTACATTAGTAGTCCCACCGCAGTAGGGAAGGACCAACCAGTGAATGTACAAAATGTTCTGATAAAGGGTTTGGTTTGGTTTTGTTTAATGAAAATGTTAGCCAAAAATATTCCTTTTTTTTTTTTGTTGTTGTTGACAACATTCAGGGTTGTGATGAAAAGGTAAAAAAAGCCTTTCTTTCCAGCCGTGGAAGACTGGTCTGTATGCACGTTCATGCAACCCTGCTTGTTTTCAGTGGGAAAGTTTCCGCAAACATAGAGACACTGATTTCTTAGGGTGATATCTTTTATTGGACCCACTATGTGGGTGGGATAAAGCTAGACAAGCTTTCAAAGGCAAGACATCCTTCCTGAGCATGTCTTCGCATCCTTGCCCCTCGCACAATGTCTGGACCGTCACGGCTACAACATCACTGTTACACTACACAAAGGTGGGAACATTTCCCTTTTCAATGACGATTTTTGTAGGGGGTGAAAGATCCTGACCGTCTCTAGCAGAAATATCAGTACGAACCCTCCTGGGAGGAGGATAAGGAGGATTTACTCTGAACTAGAAAACAAATGGGTATTACTTCTCGGCCTGAGAAGCTGATCTCAGGGTGATCGTTATTTTTCGGGAAGCCAGTCCCCTACTCTGGTCTTTCTTCCACCCCAGTGGTACAGAAGGAGTGCAATGTTGCCCAGAACTGACCCCTAATTCTCCTGTTGCTGGGATGTCTGTGAAGCTACCTCCTCCACCAGCCCCTTCCCAGTCCCAGAGTCACCTGGCTTGCAACTTAGGTACATGCATTCAGGTTGCATTAGCAAACGTAGCCCTGAGGTTGCTCCGTTCTAGTCCTTATCCACCGATACCTCTCGGGTGAAAGAGCCTGGGGCCAAAAAGTGACAGAAAGCCACCTTTGGCCTTCAAACCCTCTGAGCTGTTCAAAGAACATAAAGACAGGTCTCTACAAGTGATGCTTAACATGTCTAAAGGCAATTATCATGTTTCCTGGCACCTTAGACAAGCAAACTGAACAAACGTTGCAGTCACACGTGCATCCAGTAATTAAATGATGATAACTGTTTAGCTACCCTGCTGGTATATGGTTATTACTGGGGGTGGGGGGGCTAAATTTGTCCCTTGTGTCACTCCCTGGCTTAAGTGGAGTTAAAGCAGACATGAATTCAGCCTAATGGATGCAGCAGGTCTATAACTCCTGGGGTATTGGCGTTTTCACTGGAGAGCAGCCGCAGGATGGTGTTGACCTGACCGGCAACCTTGCTTTTATGCATCCTAATCAGTGCTGATTGCCCAGTGCAATCACCTTGCAAGCGCTGCCTTGTGAGAGCTGTATTGTGGTCCCTGTCCAGCTGGCTTGAGCTATGCCTTGGCCTGTATCTGAACAGAGAGGAGCCTTATAAATTCACCGAATGGGATTGCTCCAGTTCTCGCTTGTGCCAGTCACAAAAGCCTCCTATCGCTGCATGCACGAAGGTTATCAAGTGTTGCCACTTCCCGTCGGGGCCAGGGCTTAGCCCTCTGCTAGCTTCAAACCTGCTCCAGTGTGCAGCCCAGGGACTGTAACCACATTCCTCCTATAGGTCCTCGTTAGAGTAACAGCCCGCAAAGTCGAAGCCTGTTTCCTTGGAAAGTGCTTGCAAATGTGCAGTCTGCAAAGCCCTGGTGAGTTCAGAAATGGAAACACAGAGGATACGAAATGCTGGGATCTGTATAAATGGTTTCACAGTTGCCAAATACACTGCCTGCTGAGAGTAAGGGCATGGGACCGGAGGATGGTCAGAGGTCCCGATCCTCATCACTGACAGCAGCAGGAACCAGCAGCGCAGTGAGATGCTGTTGGCAGGAATAGGGCCATAAGGTGTTTCCCAAAGAGATCCAAGGAGATCCTCTAAGGGGAAGGATGGCCTTGAGCACATCCTGGTTTTGAAGTCTTCAGCTGTCCTGACGCTTTTCTAGAGACCTATCTTGCTTGCGCAGTGTGGCTAAATGACCAGCGATGGGTCCAGCCACAGAGCTAGGGTCCAGTTTGGTGCCCCCTTGCATAGGAAGTCAGGGAGGGCAAGAACTTAACCAGGGTCACAACAGGTGTTGAATATTTGGAGGGCTAATTAAAAATGCAAGGGCGCTATAGATGCATAGATGTAGGGTTGGAAGGGACCCAAGTAGATCATCGAGTCCGCCCCCCGCCCATAATGCCAGCTGAAAAGAAATTAAGGGGATATTAAACTCCATGTTTCAGGGCTTAAGCCAATTCCTAACTGGGTCCTGATACTGGGGATGGATAAACCAGTGATAGACCACTGGGGGCCCCAGTGCTTTCTTTCTGTGTGCACTAGCTTAGCCTAGGGTGGCGGTCATCATGCAAAGGTCCACTGAGGCAGATGGCCCAGAAGACAGCTATGGTCAAAGGCACACTGGTGTCTGTAGCCATTAGCACAAAGCCAGCATCGCGTCTGGCCACCAGCCTAAATGGCCAGGTACCCATTTGCAGCTGGGACAACTGGGAGTCCCCATGGTCATGAGTCTGGAGCCATTATGAGGCATTTTAAGTATTCAGCCACCACACCACCGTCCTGGTGGCTCTGCACAAAAACCAGGCACGCGGCTCTCAAATCCCCCACTGGAGCATCTCGTTCCAGCTGCTGTCGGAGACGAGGTCCTGGATTGGCCGTACCCGGTCTGCTAGCTCTTCTGTTCCTGAAATCCCCCCATCCCTGGAGTACAAGGGAAGTTGGCTTTGAAGCTCTGCTTCAGCTCTGTGCCTAACAGCTGGGCACTTCAACACAGCTGTAAAGCAGGGACTGGGATGGTTAGTTTTTATAGTTGCATGGAACAGGGGAGACATAAAGCAGGTTACTACTCCCTGAAGGCATAATCAAAATGCATTGCTACCCCCAAGTGGCCACAGTTGTAATTCCAGGGGTTTGCATCTGCACCCGTGGCCTGCCGTAGCCCTCCAGTCGCTCACCGGAGCTCCCTTCACTGCAAGCTCCAAGTATCCATCATGCCTCCACCCCAGGGATGATGCGCTCCCTGCCACAGATTAGCTTGCACTGTAATTAGACTGACACCATCTTTTCTTCCTAGTCCTTTCCAGCCCTATCCTGGAAACTGGTGATACATCCCACCTGCCAGGCAAATAGCATCAAACAGGGAGTGGGCTTATGCCGTGCGCAGAAAAAGACGGGGACAGGTTCCCCCCAAATCAGACCCATCCCAATCTCTTCCAGGTGCAACCAGAAGTTGAATTCATCCTTCCTTTCTTTTTTTGTTTAAGGAAAATTTTTCATGTCCCCAGTCAAATCAGCCAAATTATTTCCAAATCCATGAGTCATTCGCCCTCAGCCGTATGGTCGCAGAAGCAAGCTAGGTCTCCCGTTTCCATAAAGTGAGCATATAGCCGAGATCGTCCCACTGGAAGTGAAAGTGGGAGGCTAGCGATGCATTAACTCGGTCGGTGTCCTCCCCCCTGCCACGTTCCCCAGCCAGTAGGAAAACCACCTTGGTGGTCCTGGTATTTCCCCTGCCTCGGAGACTGCATAGCACTGCGCCCGGCATGACTGCACTGCACGAGGTGAGAGCGAAGCCGCAGGGAGCCCTGGCCCTGGATGCTGCAGCTCTGCCTAGCTGTGGAAGAGCTGGGGGTTGACATGCAGCACTTCAAAAGCAGCTTGGCCTGGGGACCTGAGAGCAAAATCTGTGCCTGTATCCCCTCTCCTTGGAGAGGGTGCACTCAGCAGCCACAATAACCGCACCTCCGAGCAGCTAGCTCCTCTTCTGCATTTTCCCCTAGTGCCCCTCTGGCCACAGAAGCCTTGTATATCCTTTAGAGATGTGAATGGTCTTATTGGATGCTTAAACAGCATGAGGATTCACTGCAAAACACAGAGGTGTGGCTCCCGGGTCTTCACCGCTGAACGTGGGCAGGGAGAGCATGAGCTACCTGTGCAGAAGTGACAATCTCCAACCCCCCTGGCCCAAGCACCGATGGGAGAGAGTAGACTTTGCCTGTGGAGTTTGTCGGAGGGAAATACCTCTGGAGACTGCCAGGGTGTTTAGGAGCCTGAATGTGCTTGAAAATAGGCACAGGGGAGGAGGGACATAGACCCCATTAGTCCTGTTCTTCACTCCCCTGAAAGGACCCCGGCTGAGGGCTTCAGGAGATCTGGGACCCCTCTGTCTTGGGAGCTGAAAGTTTCTTTTGCCATAACTGAAACAAGAGGCTGAACACATCCCCGTCCCTACTCCCTAACCCCAGATGATGCGGGTTTTTTTCCTGTGATTTTTCTTTTGCTGAAAATGCTATATGATTAGTTTTACAAATCAGTAAGAAAAAGACATGGTTCAGCTTGCTACTTGAGGTTCAATCCCTCCTGGGGTTTCTTAACAGCCCCCCCACAAACCAAAGTTGTATTCAAGTCAGTGATAAAAAAAAAAAAAAGATGCTCATTGTGATCTGCTTTTGTTAGAAGGACTTAAATGGATGTCCAGAGTCCTGCCCCAAAAGGGCCTCAATGACCACCATCCACATTTCTTTTCAAAAGGGCATTTAGCACTTGCTATTTATCATGCAGCTGTGATCTTTGGCTGCTTGGCGTTTAAGGCTGGCTACAAACAGGAACATAGCAAGAA